AAATTTAATTCATTACAATATTCAAATTAATTTGAAATATCGTTCATTTCAATTTAGGTAATATTGTTTATAAAATGTATACATATTTTATAAACACTAAAGCAATTTATCCAAGCCTTATATCCACCAAAGAGTATATATATATATATTTTTTGCTCAAGCCACAATATCAAATTTAAATTTAAATTTGGAATATGCATATGTAGTAAGAGTGGTGACTATTCTAGAATAGATATGTATTAGAAATACAGATCACCACTAATGTTATCAGATAAAACCTTTTTGAAAATGACAAAACTCAAAATTATATAAAATCTGTAACCTCTATAAAGATAGATTTTTTATAGATGGTAAAATTTTAGACAAACATTAAAGCCTTTCATAAAGAAAAGTATTTAGTAAAAGATAAATAAAGCCTTAAAGGCTATGTTATTGTATTGATATAAAGGTTATTCTGAAATAAATTTTAATTAAAAAATTATTATTGTTAAGATGCGAAGTTATTATTTGGATGCAAAGCCATCGTTTAAATGCGAAACTATTGCTTGTACACATATAAGTAATTAATATTTAAATTTTATATTAGGTTAAATTTAAATATCAAATATTATTAAGGTTAGAATAAATTTTTGAGTCAAGGTAGGAATTTGCAACATTATAATTATTTAACAAATATATATTAGTTAACTAATATATAATAAGTAAATAATTTATAATATTAAAAAAAAAATTTTATTGGCTTATCATTATTGCTAAAAGCAGAGTAGTTATTACTTTACAAAAATCTATCAAAATCGAACTTGCAAAAAATAAGCAAGTTAACAGTGCTGATAATGTATTATTAAAATACAAGTTTTTGCAAATATAAGCACTTTATTAGCTTTTTTTTATTATAATTTAGTTTTATAAATATATTTGTCAATTATTATTCTAATAAAATGCCAATATTAGCAGTATATTATCAATATTTAAGTAATAATAAGGGCCTAAAAATAACCATTATTTAACTAATTTATTAGGTATTTAAAGGTGCTAATAATGAAATAATCTCGCAATAAATTATTAAAATTGCTAACATAGTACTAATAATGCACTATATATTGCTTATTATTGGCAAATAATTGCATATCTTGAAATTGTCAGATTTTGTAAAGTAGTTTTTTCATACAATCAATATTTAATAATTTATTCAGTAACAAAAAGGCTTAATATTAATAAAAGCATCAAATTTAAATTATTTTTATCAAATAAGTGTAAATAATCATCACAAAATAATTATTCAGGTTGAGAATCAGCAGAAGTAGCAGATGATGTATCTAATCTATCTGGATTAGCCAACGCTTCTTTAGCCAGGTCTGATACTTTGCGATTATTTCTGGTACGTTTATATGGAGGAGATGAAGTTTTGGATGAGGATGATGCTTTACGTGAACGTGAAACTTTAGATGAAGATTGAACTTTAGATGAGGATGAAGCTTTAGACGGAGACACAACCTTAGGTGGAGACATAGCTTTAGACGGAGATAAAACTTGAGATGAAGACGAAGCTTCAGATGGTGATACAGTCTTAGGCAGAGATGAAGCTTTAGGTAAAGATGGAATTTCAGATGAAGATGTGATTTTAGTTCGTTTAGCATTGTTATTTACTCTTTCAGCTATTGTTTGGGCAACACTGGTCTTGTTTGTTTTATCCGGGTCTTTTGATTCCCATAAAGGTGTTACAGAGGCGGCTGCACCAATTCTCTTTTTTTGACCACCATCTGGAAAAGATATAGATTTAACATGAACATAATTAGTATTATCATATAATATGAGTTCTCCATTAATATACAAAACCGAATCCTTCTTAATAATTTCAGTTACACGTATTAAATGCGGTGCAGATGCTGAGTAATAGCATTTCATTGAAATTTT